TTGATCTCGTCCTCTAGCTTCATTCGTGGTTCAAAAATAGATATGTACCGATTACTCATACATAAATATATAAATTGACAATGCATATACGTATGTATGTATACAGTCATCCCGCATAGTAAGGATGTGCAACCTTCCCAAGGGTACCCTTGCATCCTTGCTTCATCGGTCCATGCTTCGCCACTTTCGTTGGCCGCGCCCCGCTCGAACAGCTGCGCAAAAGAGCCCTTGCATCCTTACCGCGCATCCTTACTATCCTATAGCAACCCTAGCTTCACGTATCTATTGGCACGACTACAACTGTCACCTTATGATGGCACATCACACACATCCAATGATGGAGGCTCCATCGAGCTGGCCCCTGGATTGGCCCTGGCCTCCATGGAGAGCTCCAAGATGGCCCGAGTGGACGCCGCCATGCTGCCAAGAGGGCCCAAGAGATCCACACGAGGCCGCGTTGTACGTTCCCATATGCCTCCTCCACCCCAGGCAGGCCCCTGGAGGTCCAAGGGGACTCTTCCAACGGGGATACCAGTACCCCCTCCTGGTCGACCCGACGGGTGGGAGGGAGGGAGCGAGCAAGCGAGCGAGGGAGGGAAGGGACGGACGGACGGAGGGAGGGAGGAAGGGAGGGTGGGAGGAGGACGTGGCAAGACGAGGAGGAGGAGGAGGCGGAGGAGGAGGACGACGACGAAGATGCGGACGAGGACGAGGTAGAGGGGGAGTGGAAGGGAGGCAGGGAGGGGGGGAGAAGGAAACGGAGAAGAAGAAGGACAAGGAGGAGGAGGAGTAGGAGGAGGAGGAGAAGGTGGAGGAGGCCTGGGGCCACTTTGCCCGCCTCGGGGTCTGGAGCCGAGGTACGTGGAGGAGCATGGGCTCATCATGGAGAAGCCAACAGGCGGCGACGGCGGCAGCGGCGAGAGCCTCAAGCCGGGGAAGTACATAGTCACCGGCGACCGGCAGGTCTTGCAGAGCGGACGTTGGGTGCGTCTATGTGGGGGTGGCGTGAATCGGACGGGATTGGGACGAGGATAATTCTGTTCCAGAGCGCTTCCAAACGCTTGCAGAACGATCTGGGACGCTCTGAGAAGACCGCGACGCCCGACACAGCTTCCACAGCCGTTGGATCTCAGAGATTTTCGATTCACCTGAATTCATCCTCGTCCTGGCTTCACCTTAGTGAGGGGGGGGCGGTCGTCTAGGAGGCCCCTCCGCCATCTCAGTATGCCGCCCCCCTTGCACCACCCCCGTATGGGCGCCGCCAAGGAGGGGGTGGGCCGAGCGAAGGGGGGAAGGCACAGGTCACCAGGAAGCCAACGGGCCCTGATGGAAATGGACCCCGAGGTCCCTCATCGGTTTCGGCCTCCAGGGACCCTCACCGTCAAGAACAGGCGCAGGATGAGGAGCTGATCCTGGGGGAGTGCCCCGGTGTTCAGGGCCCGCCTCCCTCGGGACCCGTGAGCTTGTGGATGCCAAGAATGGCGGACAGGCGCCGGGCAGAACAGAGGGAGGAGGTAGCGGATAAGGGGATGGGGAGGAGGCGAGGGAGAAACATTTGCATACGCATAAACTTGTGGCGGTCCGCGCGGATTTGTTGGATCCCCGCTGGGGCCCCCTGGCGGCGCCTCCGGCGCCGCCCCTGGCGCACTCCGCGGGCCTGGGAGGGGGTCCAGAGACGACTCACGAATTCTGCGCGGACCTCCGAAGGTTTCTGTTTATGCCGGTTTTGTCCCTCTAGACGGGAGAAGGCAAGGGAGGAGGCACTTGTAGAGCAGGAGGGCGAGGAGCACAACGGCAGCAACGATGGCGACGTCGACATCCATCGCGAACACGGCAGCGACGACGAAGAAGGGAAGGTCACGACCATCCTGACCGTCTCCCCGCCAGACGCGAGCGGTGCCATGCAGTGGCAGCTCGGCGCGGGCAAGCTGTCCGAAGTGACCCACCTGCCGTGCAGGACCGGAAGGTGCCACTGGCTTCTTCCTCCCCTTGCAATTCCTTGTTCTACGCTCTTCTAGTTTACAACAAGAGCACGGGGGAAACACAACACTACAGTCGAAGCCGATGGTAGGGATGGGCACCACGGGTACCCATGCATCCTTGCCTCTTCGGTCCATCCTTGACCACTTTCGATGGCGAGCCCCGTTCGAAAATGTTTCGATATGGGTTTTCAAGGGGCTTGCATGCTCACCGCGCATGCGCATCCGTACTATCAGTTTTGGCTGCATTCGATGCAGAGATCCCCATCTGTGCATCTCAGTTCCTGGCGCCTCCGTCTGGGCGTGTCTGTGTGGAAGAACCTTAAAGCCTGTGGCGACTGAACCATCCTTGGCTGCTCCCTTTGGAGTGCCCAAATGATATGCCTGCTACAACGGCATGCTGTTGAGGCTGTGAGCGGAGAGGGGTGGGAGGGACTAAACCAGCGCTTGCGTCTGACTCGCTCGAGGCATCCTCGCGATCTGCCCTTCGAGCGGGGAAGTCACAACCGCGAAACGAGCAAACCGCACGGGAAGTCCCCACAGTCTGGCCTCGACTGGGCGAGTGTACACCTCCTGGTACCCCCCACCGAGGGTGCTAAAACAAGCGCCTCGCCCAGGACATCCTCACGATCCGCACGATCTGCGCTGAACGCAGGGGAGCTCCAACCACGAAACAAGCCGTGCAACACTCCCTGGCGTTTCCCCCCCATCGGGGTGTTCGAACCAGCTCCTCGCTCGAGAAGTCCTCACGATCTGATTTGAAAGCAGGGAAGTCAAAGCCACGGAACAGGCAAACCGGCTGAGACATTTGCGCAGTCTGGCCGCGAACGGGCCCGTGCAACATTCCCGAGGAGTTTTGGGGTGCTGGGACCAACTCCTCGCTCGAGGCATCCTCTGCTCTGAAGGCAGAGGAGCACTGGCCACAAACCCAACAAACCGCCTGAGACATCCCCACAATCTGGGCGCAAACGGGCCCGTGCAACACTCCCCAGGGGGCCCCCCTTTGATGTGCTGAAGCCAGCATCTCCTTCGAGACATCCTCACGATCTGTTTTGAAAGCAGAGGAGTACGGGCCACGAAACAGGCACACCGCCTGAGACATCCCCACAATTTGGGCGCGAACGGGCCCGTGCAACACTCCCTGCAGGGCTCCCCCTTGCAGTGCTGAATCAGCACCTCGCTCGAGACATCCTCACGATCTGTTTTGAAAGCAGAGGAGCAGGGGCCACGAAACAGTCGAACCGCCTGAGACATTTCCGGAATCTGGGCGCAAACGGGCCCGTGCAACACTCCTTGGGGGGCTCCCTTTTGCTGTGCCGAAACCAGCTTCTCGCTCGAGACATCCTCACGCCCTGTTCTGAAAGCAGAGGAGTACGGACAACGCAACAGGCACACCGCCTGAGGCATCCCCACAATTTGGGCGCGAACGGGCCCGTGCAACACTCCATGGGGGGGCTCCCCCTTTCGGTGTTGAAACCAGCACCTCGCTCGAGACATCCTCACGATCTGTTTTGAACGCAGAGGAGCAGGGGCCACGAAACAGTTGAACCGCCTGGGGCATCCCAACAATGTCGTCGCGAACGGGCCCGTGCGACACCCTTCTGACGCCCCCCCCTGGTGCTGAAACGGGCAAGCTTGCGTGCGAGTGGTCTGTGTGAGTGAGGCTGAGTGTGAGTGACTCTGGGCGCGTATGAGTCTGAATGCGGCAAGTGAGTTTGAGAGTGAGTGTTTCTGAGCAGGAGTGAACTTGAGTGTGGAGCCTGAGTACGAGTGAGCCTGAGCGTGAGTCTGTCTGGGTGCAAACGCGCCCTTGGGAGTGCTGAACCTTGCGGCTCGCCAGAGACATTCTCACAATCTGGTTTGATACGAGACGAGTTGGGCACAACCGCCTGAGACACTGGGAGTGCTAGAACCAGCGGCCCGATTGAGACATCCTCACAGCCTGCTTTGACTGCTTTGACAGCAGACGAGTCCGGACACCCAAATGGGCAAGCCGCTTGAGGCATCCCCACTATTTGGGCACAACTGGGACCGTGAAACCACCCTGGTGGCTCCCGCTTGGGAGTGCTGTAACCAGCGACTCGCCTGAGATACCCTCACAATCTGGGCGCGAACGGGTCCGTGCAACACTCTCGTGGCTGCCTAGTTTGGAGTGCTGAAACTAGCACTTCGTTCGAGACATCTTCAGCTTGCTTTGAAAGCAGACGAGCCTGGACACCCACACAGGCAAACCGCCTGAGGCATCCCCACAATCCGGGCGCGATCGGGCATACACAATGAGTAAGTCTGCGTGTGAGTGAGTCTGCGTGCGAGTGAGTCCGAGTATGAGTGAGTCTGAATGTGAGTAAGTCTGAGTGTGAGTGACTCTGAGTGTGAGCAATCTGGGCGTGAGTTAGTGGATGTGAGTGAGTCTCAGTACGAGTGAGTCCGAGTTCTGGTTATGAGCGGGTCTCAGTGTGAGCGCGTCTGAGTGGCAGCCGGTCGGTTTGTATGAGTGAGTCAGAGTATGAGTGGGTTTTAGTGTGAGTGAGTCTGAGCATGGTGTAATGATTGTAATGGAAGCGTTATGTACAGTGAGGAGAGGAGAGAAGAGCAGGGGAGGAGCGGAGGAGAGGAGTACAGTACTAACAACAACCCCAATCCTAGGACATGGTGCACAACTGCACGAGCCTTTGGTTGCAGGGATCCACGCGCGGGTACCTTGCGTCGGCGTTGGATTCTGGATTCAGCGTCTAGCCAGGAATACGTGCGATTATTCGAATGATAATGTTTATTTGTTATTGAACGCTCGTGATATTTATCTTCCTCATCTTTCTCCCTCCCTTCTCGAGCAGGTACTCTGGTCCAGGCTGTACCCCAGCGAACGCCAAGCAGTCCGATTTTCCAGTCAGGCCTGGCGCATTGATGCCGCCAGTGCAGGGCTGCAACAAGGTTGACTACGCCGTTCTCTTCGTCCTCGGAGTTGCGGCCTGAGAGGCCCTTCGCTGGTGCCGAGTAGCTGGGGGAGGAGAGGGAGATGTCGATGTCGAGCGGAGGGGGAGATGGGGGGAGGAGGAGAGGGGGGGAGAAGTTGGAGGGGGAGGGGAAGTGGGCGGGCGCGTGCCGACGGGACGAGTGGACAGGCAGGTGAAAAGAGAGCATGGGCCCGCAAACCCCTCGAGCCTGGCCAGAATACCCCGAATCTTCCTGTCTCTTGGGAGTTGAGCGACGCAGAAAGATGGGATCGATTGCGCGGACATTTGCGTACGTTCGCGCGTACGCGCCCTCGTTCTCAATACAGCGTGCCGCGCTGGCAGCCCGCGTAAGGCAGCGCGCAATGCTGCTATGCCACCGTGCGTAAGCCCCTTTGTTTTCGTCGCCCAGTTGACTGCAGGGAAGTCGTCCACCCTTTTCCTCCTCTTCCGTTTCCTCTTCCTCCTCCTCCTCCTCAGGGGTCCTTCCGACTCCTCCAGCTCGAATCGAACCGATACCTCCGATTGCCAATCCGACACGCTCCAGGGGGTCCGTGCCACAGACCAGTGGCTTTGTGCCACAGTCAAGGGGGGTCCGTCCCATGGAGCGCTCCAGAGGAGACCGTGCCACAGTCAAAGCTCGGGTTATCTCACGACTAGGAAAACTGAAACACGACAAGAGAAAACTGAAACACGACAAGGCACGGCTTATTCACGACAAGCATTTTCGGCGCCCTTTTTCGCCGCCCACTTTCGGCGCCCTTTTTCGCCGCCCACTTTCGTCGCCCACTTTCGGCGAAAGTGGGCGGCGAAAGTGGGTGGCGAAAGTGGGCGGCGAAAGTGGGCGGCAAAAGTGGGCCGCGAACGTGGGCGGCGAAAGTGGGCGGCGAAAGTGGGCGGCGAAAGTGGGCGGCGAACGTGGGCGGCGAAAGTGGGCGCCGAAAGTGGGCGCCGAAAATGGGCGCCGAAAGTGGGCGCCGAAAGTGGGCGCCGAAAGTGGGCAGCGAAAGTGGGCGCCGAAAGTGGGCGGCGAAAGTGGGCGCCGAAAGTGGGCGCCGAAAGTGGGCGCCGAAAGTGGGCGCCGAAAGTGGGCGCCGAACGTGGGCGGCGAAAGTGGGCGGCGAAAGTGGGCGCCGAAAGTGGGCGCCGAAAGTGGGCGCCGAAAGTGGGCGGCGAAAGTGGGCGCCGAAAGTGGGCGCCGAAAGTGGGCGCCGAAAGTGGGCGCCGAAAAGGGACGCCGAAAGTGGGCGCCGAAAGTGGGCGCCGAAAGTGGGTGCCGAAAGTGGGCGCCGAAAGTGGGCGCCGAAACTGGGCGCCGAAAGTGGGCGCAGAAAGTGGGCAGCGAAAGTGGGCGCCGAAAGTGGGCGCCGAAAGTGGGCGGCGAAAGTGGGCGCCAAAAGTGGGCGGCGAACGTGGGCGGCGAACGTGGGCGCCGAACGTGGGCTGCGAAAGTGGGCGGCGAACGTGGGCGGCGAAAGTGGGCGCCGAAAGTGGGCGCCGAAAATGGGAGCCGAAAGTGGGCGCCGAAAGTGGGCGCCGAAAGTGGGCGCAAAAAGTGAGCGGCGAACGTGGGCGCCGAAATTGGGCGGCGAAAGTGGGCGCCGAACGTGGGCTGCGAAAGTGGGCGCCGAAAGTGAGCGGCGAAAGTGGGCGCCGAAAGTGGGCGCCGAACGTGGGCGGCGAAAGTGGGCGCCGAAAGTGGGCGCCGAAAGTGGGTGCCGAAAGTGGGCGCCGAAAGCGGGCGGCGAAAGTGGGCGCCGAAAGTGGGCGGCGAAAGTGGGCGCCGAAAGTGGGCGCCGAAATTGGGCGGCGAAAGTGGGCGCCGAACGTGGGCTGCGAAAGTGGGCGCCGAAAGTGGGCGGCGAAAGTGTGCGCCGAAAGTGGGCGCCGAAAGTGGGCGGCGAAAGTGGGCGGCGAAAGTGGGCGGCGAAAGTGGGCGCCGAACGTGGGCTTGCTTGTCGTGAATCTGTCTCATCCTTGTCGTGAAGCTGCTTGTCGCGAAACCATCCCGGCCATGCCACAGTCCGGGGGGGCCGTGCCACCAGGGGGGTCCGTGCCTCAGACAGGGGGGTCTGCCACGCTCCAGGAGCGTCCGCCCCACGCTCCAAGGGGCGTCCGTCCCACGGGGGTCCGTGCCACGCTCCAGGGGGTCCGTCCCGCGCTCGAGGGGATTCCGTGCCACGCGCCCGGGGGGAGGGGGGGGCTTCCAGGGTCCAGGGGGTTCCTTCCAGGGTCCAGGGTCCAGGGTCCAGGTGTGACTGCTCACGTGCCCGACTCTTTGGGTCCGTGGAGGGTTGGAGGGGGCCCCTTGGGGCCCGAGGGGGGCCCCAAGGCCTGTGTTCGACGACGTGCGGGTCCCGTAGGCAACGACGCGCGTACGACGACATGCGACCACGTCTACGACGACGCGCGACGACAACAGTCGGGAGAAGGAGGGGCGGATGGGACGGCCAATCACCTCCCCCACTTCCTGCTTTACCCTCCAGGCCTTCCGATTTTTGTGATCCGGCTTTCCGCGATTCGATTTCCGATTCGATTGGATTCGGCCCTGCCGTATTCTGTCGATCTCGTCCATTCGCCATTTTTTGCCAGCTTCTGTCGATTCGATCTTCGGGTCGATCCGATTCGACTGATCGATTCGATGTTGGGGCTACCAGCCTCCCCCTCTTCCTCTTCCCCCTCCTCCTCCAACACAAGCTTTCTATCAATACACAGCTGCCGACGTACTCCTTTTCGGGGTGGCGAGCCCAGTGCGGGAAGGGGAGGGCGTTGCTCGCTCCAGGCTGGCAGTCCTCTGATGCTCTTGCGGGAGCAACACCGGCCTCGAACGCAACCCCTCCGACAATGCAGTCTGACAATTTTGTCGGAGGAGGCAAAGTCCGCACGGAGGAAGACTGAGTGGAGTGTTTGGGCTCTTTCTGTGCTTGCTCCGTGTGGGCTTCGCCTCTCTTGATTGATAGGGCGCCATGTCCGCACGGATGGGGTGCTCGGTCTCCGATTTGCCCCTCCTGACCTTGAGAAGGAAGGTTGGAGTAGGAGGCGGGGGAAGCAGAACAAGCTAATTGAAGCCAAGCGGGTGATGTCAGACTTCACGGGCACCCCTTGGAGGTTTATTGAATTGAGTCCTCGGCCCTAGCACCTTCTTGCTACCCAGTTGCGCTGTGGCACGTGACCTCTCCACCGCGCTCGGACGGGGGCGCCCAGTGGAGGGAGGGGTGGTGGCGGGGCAGACGGGCATGGGCGCCATTCGAAAGATTATCCTGGCGAAGGGCCCAATCATGTGCAGTTGAGACTACCATGTTCTGGCGCCGCTTTCAACAGAGGTCCCTACGGGGCCACGGCCCGTGTGAGGGGTGCGCCAAGCTGGGCGGAGCGGAACCGCCGTGCGAACCCCGCCCCTGGGGCCTTCGGTGGAGCTCTCTACGGGGCTCGCGAACCGTGTGAGGGGTGCGCCAAAATGAGGCGGCGCCGCCATGTGGACCCTGCCGCTGGGGCATTCGGTGGGGCTCCATACGGGGCCCGCGAACCGTGTGAGGGGTGCACCAAAATGGAGCGGCACCGCCATGCGAACCCCGCCACTGGGGCCTTCGGTGGAGCCCCCTATGGGGCCACGAACCGTGTGAGGGGTGCGCAAAAATGGAGCGGCGCCACCATGTGGATTCTGCCGCTGGGGCCTTCGGTGGAGCTCCCTATGGGGCCACGAACCGTGTGAGGGGTGCGCCGGAATGAGGCAGCGCCGCCATGTGGACCCTGCCATTGGGGCATTCGGTGGAGCTCACGGTGGAGCCACAAACCGTGTGAGGGGTGCGCGAAAACGGAGCGGCGCCGCCATGTGGACCTTGCCATTGAGGCCTCCTGTGGAGCTCACGATGGGGCCACGAATCGTGTGAGGGGTGCGAGCGGCGCCGCCGTGTGGACCCTGCCACTGGGGCCTTCGGTGGAGCTCCCGATGCGGCCACGAACAGTGTGAGGGGTGTTTCAAAATGAGGCGGCGCCGCCATGTGGATTCTGCCGCGGGGGCCTTCGGTGGAGCTCACGATGGGGCCACGAACCGTGTGAGGGGTGCGTCAAAATGGAGCGGCGCTGCCGTGTGGACCCTGCCACTGGGGCCTTCGGTGGAGCTCCCGATGGGGCCAAGAACCGTGTGAGGGGTGCGCCAAAATGAGGCGGCGCCGCCTTCGGTGGAGCTCCCGATGCGGCCACGAACCGTGTGAGGGGTGTTTCAAAATGAGGAGCGCCGCCATGTGGATTCTGCCGCGGGGGCCTTCGATGGAGCTCCCGATGGGGCCACGAACCGTGTGAGGGGTGCGCCAAAATGGAACGGCGCCGCCATGTGGACCCTGCCGCTGGGGCTTTCGGTGGAGTATTGGCCACGAAGCGTGGCACTGGGTGCGCCGAAACACAGACATGCGGAGGTCAGAGGCAGGGATGGGAGGAGGGGGGTGGGGGAGGAGGAGTGGAGAAGAGAGGAGAGGAGGACGCCCAGGGTTGTCTTTTCAAAACGAAGACCCAAAACCACAGGATGGTTGGAAATAGTTGCATGGACCATGATAATAGTTTCCGCTCTGTTTAGATCGGCTATCAACATGGACTTTTCCGATCTATTCAGACCTCTACGATCTAAATAGGCATTTCCACTTGCCGGATCTAAATCGATAAGTTGTTCGTTCACACATTTTCTTATCTAAATCGATGTCCCTAATTTCAACATCGTTTTTGAGGAGCCATCCTAAATTATCCTGGCGAAGGACCCAACCATAAGCAATTGTTCGTAACGCGTTGTGGGTGCCGCTTTCGGTGGGGCTCCCTATGGGACCACGAAACGCTGCCTTGGGTGGGGGAACCGCATGCGATCTGCGCCCCTGGGGCGGGCCTTCGGTGTAGCTCCCTATGGGGCCACGAAGCGCTGCCATGGGCGGGGGAACCGCATGCGAACTGCGCCACTGGGGCCTTCGGTGGAGCTCCCTATGGGGCCACGAAGCGCTACCTTGGGTGGGGAAACCGCGTGCGATCTGCGCCAGGCGGGCCTTCGGTGGAGCTCCCTATGGGGCCACGAAACGCTGCCCTGGG